TGGTACGCATTCCTAAACAGTTTCCAGGGGCTTTAGCTGCCTGGCTGAAATGCAGCTCTACGCAGTGGCTTTTAATAAGCAAAATGTCATTTATATGTATATGTTTTCAATTTGTTTGTTTGGGGGAATTTTTCGAGTTTTGTCATAAATCACACACATGCAGAAAGAATAATTACGTATATACATTTCGACCTTTACTTTCCTGGTTTTCAAAGAGACATGCGGCCAAGCGGTTGCTACTATTTTAGAGGCATAAAAACAACATGGCGATTGATATTTGGTAACATAATTATGCATATGTAACAAAACAGACAAATATACCAACACCTAAATACCGATCCATTAATGTATATAATGCACGGGAAATATGGGTGTTATTTGTAACACAAAATAGTTTTTCCGATAATGCTAAAAAGATATTTTTCTTTTTCCTGAAATAAGACGTGAAGTCGTTATTTTTTCTCACCCCCAATACACAATACAGGGGCGGTTCCAGAGGGTGACCATCATGTTCTTGTACAACCCGAAGACAAATTAGGAATGGATGTATGCCTCATGCTGAATGTATAAGCTATTACAGGAAAAAGACATGATACAGTTTGGGGACAAGTTCTTTGTGTTTGTAACATTTCATGGCTTCTTCCTCGTACGTGTTCTTTCATTTTCTAAATATTAACAGCTTATCACATTATAGCCAGGGACGGATACAGCTTTTTGAGAAAGTGGGGGTGCACACTATTGAGAAAAGGAGGGGTGCACACTTCATTTTCACCCAAATTTCAATGGTCATTTAACAAACTTTCAGCACAAAGGGAGGGTGCGCCCCTGCCCTCCCCGGATCCGCCTATGATAACCATATCCATCAATGAGGAAATCGGTCATTTTCGTTAACATACGAAACATACAGATTAACTAATATGCCCGCGTGAGCTGCAGCAATGAATACCATCAGGGATAATCTACAACATAATAGTCTCCCTGATACAAATGCATCAGGGCTATAAGCCTTACCGAGTTCTCTCCCCTTGAACACGCAGCAAACAACAACGCCTGCGTCAAACAGAGCTGTCAAGCAAGACTGAATCAAGTGGATGCAACCTCACATAACCCCAACATCCCATCTCCCCTACAGGTTATCAAACAAAGTTCACGGTCCACCGCACTGCTAATCCCTAGCATGTTACCTATTTCAATAAAATGGAACAGCCCAAACACAGAGACAACTGAGAGATTGAGAGAACGATTTAATTAGCATAACAATATTTATGTGAATTGGCCTCTACGATTGATGTTAATGATGCGGAAATACTTTGTACAGGATTTTGTTCCTTTATTTAAGTGTTTGCGCTATATCGGATAATAAGGTTAATGCTTTATCGCCTCTGTTTTAACAATGGCACGTCAGGTCAGGGAAACCAACGTTTTGAAAATTTTCACTCACAACTATAGTCTGTTTGCAGTGAAAACGTACCGATGAATTTCACTTTAAACAAAAAAATAAATCAAATAATGTGAAATTAAGATTGCAAATCCTCATAACTTTACCTTGCCAATTGAACATTAAAATTTCAGAATTTTATTCAACTTAGGATAAAAGTTGTTTAACAAACGATCATAGTTTCAAATCGCTATTATTGGTGTGTATTACAAGGGGGTTTTCACTGCAAACAGACTATATATATGGTGACCAGGGGTAAACATCAGCATGTATAGTCTACACAGCGAAGTATAGCCATCTACACGGAGACAAACATAATCAATAATTATTGGTTACATATTCAAGAACCAAAAATAAGAGTCTAAAGTTGAGATGTTTTGGCAGGTTTACAAGTCAACAGATACAATACTATTAAACATCGTCAACAGAGTTTTGGGATGAGAGGAAACCATGTGTGGTTGAAACGTTTTGCATTATCGTATCTAACCATAAAATGTCTTCTCAAGTTTTGATGTAACATTATAAATTTTGAATGGCTCTTTTGATACCACATAGTGGGTGAGTCGGGCTTTACACCGTGTTTAGCAATGTTCCAGCAATATCTCGGCGAGGGACACCAGAAATGGGCTTCACACATTGTACCCATGTGGGGAATCGAACCCGGGTCTTCGGCGTGATGAGCGGACGCTTTAACCACTAGGCTACCCCACCACCCCCTGATACCACATAGATGATTGTGTCTTTAAGCGGATACGATTATGGGATTCAGCAATCCATCTGCGTATAGAGCACCAAACCATATCATACATTTTGTTAATTTAATCTTATTCGTTAAATAATGGTTTAGACAAGTTTCAAAACTAGTTCCAAAGAACGGATTCCCTTGCATTCCAAATACGCATAACAGATACCAATCTAACATGGATATAATACTTCGACACATTACACCGACCGATCATTCCTGGGTTTATATCCTAATGTAATTCCGAGCACCTGCACAGTAACAACAAGTACCATAATTTAACTTTGTTCCTATGGTATGGTGCGGCCGGGAAGTGGAACCACCATGAATGCAGTGCGGGGTTGTGAGGGGTGCTGTTTCCACTCCAAGTGTCGGTATAGTGTTATACAGCGGCCTGAAAAACGATGGAGGTTCAGCGACGTTTGGCTCAACGATTATGAAACGTATGGTTCAGAGGCAACACATTTTGTGTTACTAGTTATGAAATCAGTAATGTCAAACGGGGCGGTGGGGTAGTCTAGTGGTTAAAGCGTTGGCTCGTCACGCCGAAGACCCGAGTTCGAATCCCCACATGGGTACAATGAGTGAAGCCCATTTCTGGTGTCCCCTGCCGTGATATTGCTGGAATATTGCTAAAAGCGGCGTAAAACCAAAGTCAGACAGTCAGTCAGTAATGTCAAAAACCATTTGAACAAATCTATAGTGACTACAACTTACATTCCCAAGACCATAGTGACGAAATCCTGCAACTGCGCGGTTTTTTGTTATTGTATTTTTATTTATTTTGTGCTTCCATTAGCCATGCTAACGTCATCTTTCAACTTCACACATCATTTGTAACAAGTTGGAACCAGTATGTACAGGTCATTTTGGGGGCCTATATACAGCACGTGATTTGAAGCATGTATAGGATGAGAGGTATCTCCATGTGGGACAGCATCAAACCTTGCTAATGGTCTAACGTTACTACGTGTGAGGGGCGGTGGGGTAGCCTAGTGGTTAAAGCGTTGGCTCGTCACGCCGAAGACCCGGGTTCGATTCCCCACATGGACACAATGTGTGAAGCCCATTTCTGGTTTCCCCCGCCGTGATATTGCTGGAATATTGCTTAAAGCGGCGTAAAAATAAACTCAGTCAGTCAGTCAGTCAGTACTACGTGTGATCAGTACTCTCATTTTCTTCCAGGTGCCATACACCGGGCTTATGGTGGACACTCAAGATATTGAACACACTTGACTTTTACATTGTCATTTTTCAAATAATATCCACTATCCATACTCAGATAACCCATACATGTGAACTTGCCACACCAAACAATGTGCGATTCGGTTTTTGGAGAATATGTATTTGACTTTAACAATGAAGTAAACTGTTGTAAACGGATAAATCGCTTTGCATCACAACTAAAAAATGCTTCCAGAACAGCTGTTTCGAATAGATCCTATTAGCTGATGGATATATTCAATGAGCAGATGGATGCCAGATCACTAGGATGGGTGACAAAGGGGATCTGTAGGGTGGTAGGCTGCAACCGCTTACCTTTGTATACATATTGTGAGTGGCAGGTGCTACCGGTAGGACAAGACAAGTTTGTCCTTTCCGCGAACGCGCAAATATCCCGTGATCCGTTTATATACCTTGCTAAGTTGTTTTGCTCTTTGCACTCAATAGGGTATGTTTCAAGGGATAACCAAAACCCGACATTCCCTTTCTTTGATGTTATGTATTCCAAATAACACTTGTGAATGAAATAAAAATGATGTCATTAGCTTTCCAGCGATTTGCATCCCAGTTGGTGCATGCTGGTTACACTGACTGAACTGTTAGATATGCATGCATGCCCCTTAAGCAAAAATACATAATTTCATGTATGTATGTATGTATGTGTGCGCGCGCGTGCGTGCGTGCGTGCGTGCGTGCGTGTGTGTGTGTACGTACGTAATGTATGTACGCATGCATGTATTTGGAGATCGACAGAAGGATGAGCAGATCCGAAGATTTTAATCTAAGTTTATGTTTGTTGATGTACATATGCCCCCACGAGGCAGGTCACTGGAGGTCAGTATGCAGAAGATGGCCAATATCCATTTAGTCCGAAATTCATAGGTTTAGATAACGGTATTTCGTTGTCAACCGTAAACATATTTGTACTCTTTTCGTATCAGTAAATTGTTGAATGATATCATGGAAATTATTAGTGATATCAGTTAGATGCATGGTAGCACAGCTGTGAGATATGCTACATTGGCATGTTGGAAATTTAGGCTGTATTCGTATGACCCGATAATTACATCTCTAAACAAAATAATGAAGCATACTTGTTTGTCTTGCATTCAATTTATGTCAGCGTCGTTCATGAATAAAACATCGAAACAATATTCGTGCCCCTTAAGCAGAAATACATAATTTCATTTTAAAATGTTCAGTGTTATCGTCTGCTTCTGTACATGGAGGTTACCTCGCTTTCAACACTCTTTTGTATTAAAGAACAGAATACTACTACTTCCGGTGAAATTTTTGCATATCTGTCAATCATCACACCAACTCAGCCAATCAGCGATCAGATCGTCAATCTGAGACTCCGCCTTCAGAGGCTTTTCCGCTTTCATATTTACACGTAACTTCGCCGAAAATTATCTGTAAAATTATATTTATTGCATGTAGCAACGAATAAATGGACGGGAATCATTGCAAAATATATATTCTACACCCATGAGTAATCGTTTCTCGCGTATGTGCATTTTTCTTTTCACAATCACGATATTTGTTACCCCCTCTGCAAACCACATTTTCACATGCAGCATTGCGATCTATCGCGCTGGTCAGCATATGACCTCTTTGTGAGAGAAGAACGCCATAGCAGATCGCGGCTCACTTTGTACTCGACTGTTTTAGGAAATCCTGGTCTCAAATCTTTTCATTCATGTTTCCACTGCCATTTAGAGCTTTTTAAGGTCATTGTGGCTACAATTGGAGACATTTGGACTCACTTCTGACCACTCAGAAGAGTCTTTGTTTTTCCCTCCAAAATTCAACATGCCGCTCCTCAGAAGGCAACCATTCCACAAACAGAAACCTCCGCCCAATTTGCGACCTGATGAAGAGATTTTCCACTGCAAACTCACAAATGAAGTATTCAGGGACTATGAGTAAGCATATTGTTCTCCATCCTCTTTCTGTTTGTTTATCATTGTTACCGGTATCACGTGTACAATTTTCATGCAAGTTCACTCGCAATCTGGAGACATTTCGCTATCGCGTGTACATTCAACCATGCTATGTCGGAACGTTTATTATGTACCGAGCGCCATTTTCTTCATCGGATAAGGTAATATTCAACGATTGTGTTTCATCACTCTAAAATTTCACTGTCGAAACGGATTCAGATGTTGGACGACGAAGGTGATGGTGAAACCCCAGATCACTGAACATGACTTCCTTTTTATTGTCCCGAGTTGATGACGAGCTTTATTTAGACTCCATAGAATTGCAATGCAGGAAATGTTATACGACGTGCTGTTTTGATTTGTACAACGAAATGGAGTAAGGAGTAGACTATTTGTCGTCTTGTCTTTGTGTTTGTTTTAGATCTAAATATAGGGTTGGTCTCAAGTTAACTTGATCTAACTGCAAGATATTCTCTTTATGCAGATGCCTCCAATGTGTGAAACACCATATAAAAACACAAAGTCAGTCTGTGACTTTAGCTACAAGTTCAAATTCTATGTCAAGTTCTATTCAGTTTGGTCTTGTTTTTAGCTTGATAATCCACGTTATAACACTACGCTCAATTGTAAATGATACTAAGAAACTCAAAATATTTTCCCAGAGACTTCTAAGGTAGTCTATATGAAGGAAACCAGATATAGGGAGTAAATATTATGTCCGGGTGTATTTTCACTCATTTCAGAAACATTGACTTGTCGTGTCTATCCTTGGATTTTGATGTTATATCGAAATGCATTTCTGCAAATAAGCTGAAACATAGTAAATCAATCTGCTAAAACAAGAGTTCCAACAGACTGTTTTATTCCAACTGATCATGCTAATGGGGCATACATGACGTCAAGGGGGTGAAAATATGTCTAAATGAAACATGTTTAATTAGTTCAAGTCTTAAAAATGCACAAATGTTATCAAGATCAAGTATTTCATGTTTCATTTCTTGATATGTCACCATATTATACAAAACTTGTATAGATGCATAATGAGAGGATACAATGAATCGCAGATACAAGGGTTTTAACGATAGGCTGGGTATGCATAAAAGTATGTATGATAAAACTATTATTGTGATACGATAAATAATGCAATATACATCACATGCACTGGACACTTTCTGAGTAATAACAAAGGTGATTCATACGACATATACATTTTCCACTTATAGCATGTTAATATTACAAATTTTAAGTTAATTAATAACCATCGAGGGTTTTAAGTTGGAGGAAACACTTGAATCTGATTCTTGATTTAAAATGAGCAGAATATCCTGATAGATTTTACATCCTTGATTCAACTATTGGAGTGGTTTCTCCAGTACACTGTCAACTGATCCAAGGAAAGTAAAATCCAGGAAGGATTAATTTAGAAATGTATGAAGTTCATGTGGAACTCAGTAGTATAGACAATGGGATGTGATCTCGCTTCACCCATGTAAGGCTTTTTTTAGATGCCACCAAGTATCCCAACAGGATGGTCAGATCTAAATCTGAAATAGCCATCATCTCTACTACTCGCATTTACTACTAAGTGTCATTGGTTATGATTAGTTGTCAGGGTGGTCAGGTAGCCTTGTGGTTAAAATGTTCGCTCGTCACACCGAAGGCCTGGTTTAGATTCAACACTTGGGTATAATGTGTGAACCCCATTTCTTTTGTCCCCCCACCCACGATATTGCTCACTCACTGTGCTTAGTTGTCACAATATGTCTGAAATATTGCCGATGTGATGTAAAATGTTAACTCACTCACTATGATTTGTGTCTCGTGTTACTGGAAATTAGTAATTGTGGGTTCTCTGGAACCCTAGTCTTGTAGGTCAAGGCAAAACAATGCATATTGAAAACTGTCATAGCAACATGTATGAAGTCAGATTCATGTGTCATCTTCGGCCTGATCACTAACCTTGTCCATTTCAAACAAACGAATGGCTTTCCTTTCATTAGCACAATCAGATATTTATCTGGGCCTGCATAGTGGCCGATATGTAGAACATGTCCGTAAATATCCCCTAATTTGAATTACGAATCTCCCAATTCATGTTACACAGTAATTAGTAATGATATGTGGAACTTGTTGTTTTGTTATGTACAGCCAGTGTGTAAATCTGACCGATTTAAGCCAATCACTGATTTAAGCCAAGGGCTCTTCATTTGGAATCCAGTCCAAATCCGTGATGATTAAGTTATATGGAATTAAACACATCCTCGATAATCTCCAGGTTATATGTTCCAATAAATCTCAACTATACCCTGGATGCATCTGTGGATCGGCCCGATAATCTTATTACCTCCCTTTGCTGGCTCCGCATTCTCACAGTAGCCAATCAGGTTAACCGCCATTACAACCGAGCTTGCCAGTGTCAACAAAGATAGCAGTCGCAGCCGTGAAGGTTTGTTCGCAGTGTGACTCAGATTAGGGGGGAAATCATACAGACAAATTGACAGGTCTGAAACTTTTAAAAAATATACGCAAGAACTCCTTCTACCTCTTTCAGAGTACCTCTGCCAATATATTATGTGTTGCCAAGTTGTGATTGTTACGCTCAACTTCCCAGTGTAGACACCTGATTGGATAAAAAGCCAACCAAGGGAGGTAATAAAATCATGGGGCCGTATATGCATCCAGGGTATAGTGGAGATTTATCGGAACGTATACCCTGGAGATTATCGAGGATGAATTAAACAGTGATTATCTATAATTACTCAGAGGATGATCTTCATCTGCAAGTCAGCACCACATGTTGGTAAATATTTAAAAAATTGGAAGTATGAATTTCCCAAATTATGTAGCCATGCTTACTATTGGCCTTGCTTATTCACAGTACTAGAGGTGACATGTATTTCAGTGATAGCAGGACTGATAAAGTGAGAGAGAAAAAGCTTATATGCATAATTTTCATCAAACGCAATATTAAATATTTGAACAAAGTAACACTTTTTTCCCAATTTTTCCTTCCACTGGCACTTTGCTAGAAATCCTAGATAATCCATGTGAACTTAGTGATACTGTTTTTTACATGCATGGTTTCGACTTTTGTTTTTCAATAAAATTCTACATAAGGCCAGACAATTTTATTTCTTGTTTTACGGACCTGCCGGGTCATATATTTTCAAGAATAAGAAAATAAATATAAATTAATTTTCCCCGCTCAAAAAAAAATCTGTATGTTTTTATTAGCCCAAAATGTAAACTTACAAGAATTTGTTTTTTAGATTGTTTTTTGCTCCATATACACTTCATAAATTGCCAGAAGTAAAATACTTTTAGTATTTGGAAGGAATATTACTTTGACTGGTGATTTTATTTTTATTCCCTCCTGCCTTTAGGTTTTTTGAGGGAAAAAATCTGTAAAGCAAGAAATATAATTGGTCTGGCCTAACTAAACAATAAAAAAGTGTTACAAGTTCAGGTTACATGTTATTACATTGTTTTGGAAATAAAGACAAGCCCAGATAGCTTTCAGTGGCATTTAGAAGTTGTACATTGATGTCCAAGATATTTTTAAAAGAAGTTTAATCCATAAAAATGTCTTGGAAAGCCCAGATAGGTCTTAAACTATATCTGTAGTTGAGATGTCGAGAATAATCTTTGACGTAATCTGTAGACATAACATGAAATGGTTAACTGACTCTATGCAAAGAATTTTAAAACTGTAACAGTAAACATTAGTGGATGAAATGTCTTTTTCTATCTGGATGTCATTGTTTTTTCAATTTTCTTTTTCTAACAGAAGAAGAAAGGAGTTTAACGATGATTGAACAGAAAAAAAGAATATATTTTTTATCTTCATTAAGTCAATGAACTTGAAAATGGTGGGTTGTAATAATTATGGTATATATCGAGTATTAAGGGCTCACAAAACATTTTAAGCTTATACACATATAACACTGAAATATTGTCATGAGTTATAATTGACTAAGTATTCTCCTTGCAGTTCAGTACTGTTGCTCTATTAGTTCTCAAGGTCAGTTTAACTGGTTGAGTAGAACTTAGAAGTGTACTTTGTTCAAAAGCCAGCCTGAAGTTCATGAGGTCCCTTTTATTGCCTAAATGATAAATGTTAAAGATAAAGTGTCCCAAGATATAAATGCTACAGGAGAAAACCACAAGGACTTAAGGACCCATTGTCTAAGTTTAAGTATTGCAAGTATCATGGTTATCGTTTCAGGGAGTTCTTCGAGCGCATTATCTTATGCAACAGCTTGGTGTGGTCATGCAGCATCACTGGCCGATCCGGGCTGACCTACCAGGAGGCCCTGGACAGCGAGGAGAAGGCAAGGAAAAACCTGTCAGCCTTTCCCAAGTACCTCCAGCGTCCTATTCTCATCCTTGCAAGTCTCACATACAGAACCAGGCTCATCGACCTCAACGAGGATGTCTTCTCCTTTGCCAAGGACAGATATTTCATTGGAGAAATAGTTGACGTTATGGTTGGAACTGTCAGGTAGCTTAATTACACCTAGCAAAAACTATGAAACTCATGCTGTGGAAATTTTGCAACCTGATAGAAAAGGAAGACTATTTGAATTCATAAAATGCATATTAATTAGAACTACTGTGGGTTGCAATTTTTGTCACCTGGTATATCCAATAGCGGTCCTCAATGTCTTGACGAATTTGTTTCAACTTTATGTTCAATGTTTGACCGGCAGTTGACCCTAGTATCGGTCTAATGGATTCTTAACATTAGTATGTTTTTTTTATGGGATTAGATGAAAATTAAACTGTAGGAGCTTATAGAAACATCACTGCCCTAGAGGGCATTCCAGGTTAGTATAGCTTGTAGTACAAGATGATCTAATGTATCAGATGGACTGATTCGACAACTTGGTTGGTTGCATGACAGTGCTCCCTACTGTGTGGGATGTAGCCTCAAACTCGGATATTGGAATCTGCTGTCCGAATGTTACTTGGTGCAGAGATTAATGACAAACGTTTTGATTTCAGGAAAAGTTGTCGTATCTTGAAGGTGGGGTCACCATCACTGCAAAACCAAGGAAATGGAGACGTGATCGTGATTAACATAGACAGTGACTCTGATGATGACCAAAGAGGGTAATATATTTTAGTTTCCCATTGAGTCACATGCCCTGAACAAGTCAGTGGTTCTGTTCACCAGTATATACCAGAAATTGGCCCTTAAAGGAACTACTGGTATATCACACCACATTTCTCTTAAAATGAATGATGCATTTCTCTCAGTCATATTATCAGCCCCCAGGGAAGCTACCATAAAATTTATTCCAAAAAGAAATTACTTATTTAGATTACAATAATAAATTGAAAAGTTTGAATGAATTAATGCAGCGTTGCCTAACATTATTTCAGGCGATCCCCATAAAGTTATGTCCTTGGAGCACTGTTTACGAATATGAAACGCAAAACATGTGATTGACACCAGTTCAGCAAACGCCGACAACACCGCATGGGACAGTTTTCTATGCATCGTTTAAATTCCATATATGGCAAGTGTTCCCTGTTCGGAAGCTGTTCACCTCGAAGTTTCAATTACCGATTTCAGGAAAGTTGTAAGGGATAGTAACTCTTTTATTGAATCAATATGAAGCTAAAGTGAGTGCATATGCCCCAATAAATATGTAAAAAAATGTGTGACATTGTGCCTTTAACCATGGTAGGATGTTACTGGAACTGGAACTTGAGGGTTGACAGTCTCAATGTTTGATAGAATTTTCCATTGAATTATAAGGATTATATCAGGATTGTTATGACAGTACTTCACACGTACAGTACGTCACATGAGCCAAATGTCAGACGGGTGCAAATCAGTATAGTGGTAAAAAAACAGGTGTCATTCAAAATCTTAGATCTTGTTATAGGCTGATAGGACTGGTGAAATCCCGCCTTGATCAGCATTTTCAGTTGCTACCGGCCCATATGGCCGACATACAAATGAAATTGGAAACACTGACTATTTGCTTGATCCCAATGAGTTTTCTTTCATTATAATGGCAATCATGTCACAGTGCTTATTAGGGGTGAAACGGTATGCTCTTACCACGGTACGGTACATATTGCGGTACAAGGCTTTCGGATCGGTCCGTTTCGGTTCGGTATATGAGAACTTACTTCCAGGAAAATAGCGTCCGTCTTCACTCTTGCAATAGATTTTGACAAAATGATTCGATTTCAAGACATATTAGAAAAGGTTTGGAAAGGTTAATAAAATGATGGCATGAAAACCGAAAATACCAATTTTTTAAATTGCATTATGGTATACCATACCGAAGGCAAAATACTGCGGTTCTACTAATACCGCGGTATACCGTTTCACCCCTAGTGCTTATATCATTTCTGAAAGTTGCATACAATACATATGGGCTAAGAATACTGTTATGGGCTCAGGCTGCAATGCTCTTTCTGAATAAGAACCACTCTGCAATTAATTCAAGGATAACTTTCAGTTAAACATGGTATTTTGAAACAAGGTTGATAATTAAATGAAGTAGGTTTGCACTTTTTGTCTGATTTAAGGGTAATTTTTAGCCATTATCAGAGGTACAGATAAGCTGCGTATCTGCGTAAATTACGCAAATATTTATGTGAAAACTCAATTCCTATTAAGCCTATTGCGTACAAGTACGCTTCAATTTTTGTAAATACTCAATAGATTTGATGTTACATGCATACAAACAAAAATAGATAAAATAACTGAGGTATATTGTGAGGTTCTATTTCAGCACCTATGTGCTATAACAGATCAAATATAAATAACGAACACGTAAACCATCATTTAAACTTTAATATATTTTTACAATTAATGGAAAATGGCAAAATACCCAATTGCGTTTGAGTGAGGTGGGTAAAATATATTTGGTTACTCAAAGGAAAATTAGGATACCCAATTAAGATAAACACAAGAGAGTACATAACTCAATGACCCAAAAAAGTTATCTGTAGCTCTGCATTTTGAAACAAGATTGATATTGAGTAGCAAGTTTGTATTCTTTTGTTTGCAGTTCATCAGGTACAGGCTCCCGACTTGGACCTCCCCCAGACAAATATGAGTACATTGTCCAAGAACTAAAGCAAAGTAACTGCTTGACTGTGCCAGCTTCGGCAATCAGGTAAATTATTCATAGCTGCGTTTGTTCATCCTGCCTTCCTAAAGCTTCTGGTGTATTTGTTGAAATCCTATTAATAATATATGCATTATTAGCAAGGGAAGACTATTGTATTTCTCAAATTCAACATTTGATTCAAAATGTCATGCAGGATTATATTTAGTTATTGAACAAGCATCAGTTGACCTTAAAACAGAATGATTATGTACGTGGCTGTCAGTTTACATAGTTAAGCCATTGATTAACATTATGTGACTCCTTACTAGCTCAAGTAACTCGTGGGGCGGTGGGGTAGTCTATTGGTTAAAGCGTTGTCTCGTCACGCCGAAGACCCAGGTTCGAATCCCCACATGGGTACAATGAGTGAAGCCCATTTCTGTTGTCCCCCGCCGTGATATTGCTGGAATATTGCTAAAAGCGGCGTAAAACAAACTCAGTCAGTCAGTCAAGTAACTCGTTGATGTTTGAATTGCGATATTTTATTACTCGCAAGAACAGAAAATTAATTTCAGCTTGATGCCACAAATGCTGATTTTTTTGGTGGTTAGTTTTAGTTTTAATTAGTTGGTAATAACCAACATATATATTTTGATTAATGTGTTCAACTCCTGTGAAGAAAAATGCTAATTATGTCCCTTAAGTTGATACAAATTAGATATTCCTTGGATTGCAATAAGTTCTTTTCTATCAATTACAGTCGGAAACGGACCCTTTATACTAGAGAGAAGAGTAAGCTGTTTCTGAAACATCATGCTGACTCCACTTCTGGTGTGTTTAGAGTTAAGGTGAGAAAAAGTGCATTGTAATGAATTAGCATTCGCAATGAATTACATTGTTATAGGTTTTAGAAATAGACTTGGCATCAAGGCATTTTCATTTTATCAACTTTTTAATACCATCATCAAACTTGAAAAAAATTCTTTAAGTCATTTTCATTCACAGTCAGTTAATGACCTGAAAATAATTCAATCAGAAACCCTCTTCTGTGTTTAATATATTTTTATTTAAAATCTAAACATCCTAATCTGAACACAATGAATGTGAAACCGTAAATCATGTATTGACCATGTTAATAGCTAACACTGAATATAACTACCTTAATTAAAGAGAATATGCAGAAAGATCTGATTGTTGTAATTATAATCTGCACAAGCAGATTTCCATGGACATGATATAGGTTAAAATCCAAACTTGACATGAAAAGGCCATGGATAACAGGTTTAAGATGAATATTTTATTCATTGCTAAATCTCCTGGCAATTCATGAACAAAGAACAGCAATTCAGAGTTACCTCCCTTCCGCTCAGTCATTCGATAACTGAGGTATGAAGTGGTGACCTACAACTTTTATTTATCCATACATATTTGATGTTTTTGCTAAATTGTTTCTTCATAATTTGGCCATGAGAAAGCTGTAAGAGGGCCTGTGATTGTGTGCCAGAAAGTTTGCATTAACCAAATATAGCAGTACCAGAAAATCAGAAACCAGAGCCAAATAAATCTTCAGAACTTGGTAGTCAGGTATCTTAGTTTCCAGGATGATCTTTAAAGAGAGAATAGTGGAGTATATCAGTCTAACAGGATAGGTACACTGTCATGGAGAATATCTTGAAATGATCCTCCCAGGGATTTACAGGACGTGAATTCCTGCATCCTATACACATAAAAATTGACAATGGACGCAACAAAAGTTATTAGCGGATCCACATGGACGCAAAAAAAAGTCCAAAGGTATCATTTGCAATTTAATTACTGTAACAATTAATGTGATGATCATGATACCTAATACAATAACAGTATTAATAATAATATTTAAGGGTCTGGGACCCCCATTTTGTTGTCCAGGACCCCTGAAAATTAACAATATGAGTCCCAGGGACCCTCAAATACAAGACTCAAGGTAAATCCATGTCCTTCACAAGGGGACAGTTTCTAGATGCTTTCAGTTCTGTGAAACTCACTGTCACTGAGAGTGTTGTTGGTTTATACTGTCAAATGTTTTGACTGATCTACTGATCAGTTTCTGACTGTTGTGAATTTATGCTGTTTCCAGGAAAAAGTTGTCAAAAGACTAAATCTGCAAACAGCAAAGTTTGAAGACTTTTTTCTCGGGGCCTCCACCAATATTTGAAAAATCTGAGATGAAGAAGAAGATATCCCCGAAACGCCCAGAGAATCGTAACAGTACAGGCAACACTAGTCTAACAACACCACCCTTGAAAAAGAGGGGCCCGCAAGAAGAAAGATGAGAAAATGATGAAGGAAAAGAGAAGCCCCAAAGGTAAGTTTGACAATGGATAGCATTGATAAAATATCCTCTTGAACCCCCTTGTGATTGTAGTTCCTCCGCCATATAGCTGGAATATTACTGAGTGCGGCGTAAAACTCAACTCACTCAACTCAACTCACGACCAAAGGTCTGTGCAGAGTTACATCCCTTGAGCATACCAGAAAGCCTTGAACATATTTCAAATCATGTTTCGCATTGGATGTGTGTTTCGAGTATAGTCGGAGTGGAATATATAATGGACTAGCACCACCAATGTGGATTTGGTGATGACAAGTTAATGATTACTGATTGTGTGTGTGGGTATCCTAGTGGTTAAAACACTCGTGAAGATCCGGGGTAGAATAGGTCTTCAGCAACCCATGCTTGCCAGAAAAGGTGAGGCGAGGTGAGGTGAATTTGGTTTAATGTCATGCTTGAGAATATTTCGCTCATATGACGAAGTGCATGCATGTGTATTTGTATGTGCGGCTGCTTGTACTAGCCCAGACTTAAGCTGGTTTTATAGTGCTAGCCCACTGAGATACCATGCCGCAGTGAAGCATGAATACCCCACTCAGACACATTATACTGACTCCGAGCCGACCAGTCCTTGTTGTCCCCAGTAATGCCGAGCGCCAGGCAGGGTCAGGACCAACAAGTACCATATTTTAACGTCTTTTGGTATGACACGGTCGGTTGCCACAAAAGGCGACTATGCTTGTCGTAAGAGGCGACTAACGGAATCGGGTGGTCAGGCTCGCTGACTTGGTTGACACATGTCATCGGTTCTCAGTTGCGCTGATCAATGCTCATGCCGTTGATCATTGGATTGTCTAGTCCAGACTTGATTATTTACAGACCGCCACCATATAGCTGGAATATTGCTGAGAGCGGCATAAAACTAAACTCACTCACTCACTCACTAGTGGTTAAAGGTTTCAGGTGTGTCATACCGAAGACCTGGGTTTGATTCCCCACGTGGGTACAATGTGTGATGCCCATTTCTGCTGTCCCCTTCTGTGATATTGTTGGAATATTGCTAAAAGTGGTGTAAAAGTAAACTCACTCACTGATCATGTGTCATTGTTCCCTGACAACATGCAGGCAACCACTGGTGAGCTGGGCTAAGACCTTGATTCGTACTCATTTAACAATGTCTTTTCAAGTCATTTTCAGTAGATATAACGTAGCAATAAGATAGCAGGAATACTGTTGACTAAGGCATTAAATAATATACCACACTTGTTTGGTGATCTGGGTACTCAGGCTAGGCTAATCAAGTTGCTCTATATGATCTACAAATTGGAAACGTGTTTCATGTTTGGAACAGTATAATTGTTATTATGGCTGTCAATTGTTTTTCCATATCCGTCCATGTAGTCACTCTGTACGTGTTTCCCCCAGAGATGAAGACACCAGAGCAGCTTGCACGGGAGCAGATGCCGCACCTGACCCCGGAAGAGAGGGCTCAGTTAAAGGAGAAGATGAAGCAGGACAAGATGGCCGAGAAGATTGCCAAGAAGGAGGAACTCAGAAAGCGACTGGAGGAAGAGAGAATGAAAAAGAGGGAAGAGAAAGCAAAGGTGGATATTTGAATTGAAAACAGAAGTTTTAATAGTTGTGTTAAGGTGTCTCAAATGCTGAGGCAATTTGATTCAATAAATTCATGATTGATGTATGCATTTTTCAGCATTACAATGTCATACAACAGTCATAGAAATGGAAGTTATTTTTCAGGAACGTGAAAAGATACGAGAAGAAAGGTTGAAGGAAATTGAGATTTTGAGGGAGAAGAATAGGCCAAGAGATGACATGGAGTGTGATGACTTGAAGGTCAGTAACCAATGATTGATGAAACTTTTATCTGAAAGCTGTAATATATATGGCGGGTTAGAATGAACCTTCAGTAACCCATGCTTGTTGTAAGAGGCGACTTATGGGATTGGGTGGTCAAGCTCGCTGGCTTGGTTGACTCATGTCATTTGGTTCCCAATTGCGCAGAACGATGCTCATGCTGTTGATCCCTGGATTGTCTGGTATAGACTTGATTATTTACAGACCGCCACCGTATAGCTGGAATATTGCTGAGTGCGGCGTAAAACTAAACTCACTCACTCACTGTAATATATATAACTTGTTGACCTGCTGGTTATTACTAGAATATCCTTTCCAAAAACTGGAATTAGCTGCAAATTTCATAGTTTCAATTTGACTTGTCACTTATGTATATTTTGAAGAGATGAAATATGAATGTTTTTAGTTGATGATAATATAAAACATTTTGAGATGTATTTATTTGTATTTCAAATTGTGTTTAGGTTTGCCGTTATGCAGCTCACATTCAGTTTACTATCAAAATACTAGTGAACTGTATTTCAAATATAACCAATGATTTGTTTTCAGAATTTCATATATGTGTTAGCCTTATATGGTCTTTTTTTCTTTTGTTTTCTATGAACAGAAGTTTAGTGTGAATGCAAAAGGCATTGAATAAGTTTTCATATTTGGGTTGAATTCTAAAGCACACTGTCAGTGTGTATGTGTGTGTTTAGTCAACCAATACTTATAAACAGTCCATGTTCTGGTCTGCAATATCACATGTGCATCTTATTATTGCCAATCAATTCTAACAGGCAACACAGTCCGGCAAGAGACATTGCAACTGCCTTGCAATCCACACGGCACCCATTCTCTGTCAGTATTCAGAAATAGTATTGCTGGATTATAGGTCTGATGCCAAAGAACACTGACCAAAGTAAATACTTATATACCAGCTACTTATTCTTATGTTTCATTCCATATGTTAATCTTTTTTACATATATGATTGCAGGTTATGCCAAACTTTAAACCAGTGCAGACAAGGGTGCCATTGGAATTATTCGGGGATGCCGTCATGGTTTTGGAGTTCATTCATACTTTCAAGAGTCTTTTTGATTTTAAGCAATTCTTCCCTAAGGGGTTTTCTTGGGGTAAGTACTTTTGTAGTGCCTTGATTGCTTGACTGATGATCAATCCCATTTCATGTAAAATGTAAGAATGCTGTACGTTTTGATGGAATTTGAACACTGCATATGTCTGTCTCCACTGCTGCTAGTTTGTTTAAAGACTACTACCCAAAGATTATTATAATTAAGTTAAATATTTCCAAGGAAATCGTCCAATGGCTCCGGGCTATTCTTTTGGTACATGTCTTGAAACGTGATGGCTATGCCTAGGGTCAACATTCACGTAAATTTGTAATCATGAAAAGTAACCTCTTGCATGAAACTTCCTTTCACTGGAAAGTTTTGGAGCCTGCTTGTCAAAGGTCAGGGTCATATTTGAGGTCATTGTTAAACACAGCTACATACTTCATAGCATGTTACTGTTGCACTGTTTCTTGTACAATCCATGGAATTGATGTAAGAAGTTTTCATTACAGTTCATGTCTGAACTAATTTTTCACATACATGGTCTGTAAATTTTTTATGATCTTACCTTAAATGGCAGTGAAGGTCTCCTTATTGAAATCAGACCTTATACCCAGATGAACTACCCACTGAAGATCTGACAACATTCCTTAGATCGGATTGTATACATTTGTTGGATTTTTTTTTTGATTGATAATTGTTATAATGTGCTACCGGTGTGATCACACTTTACATGCACATCTTAGTGTACCGTCCACTCTTTCTACTGTGACCATGCAAGTGCAACCCAGTAGTCACCATTTTACCCATATTCTTGTGAATTGGCTATACCATGTCAAAGTATGTGTGTTTGAAAAAGCAGCTACATTTTCAATCCTTGTGGTCTTGTAGGGATGCTGGAGTCGGCGCTGCTGGACCACGATGTAGATGGGCCCCTGTGTGACCTGGTCCAGATGTTGTTGGTGACTGTCTTCACTCTACAGGAAGAGGAAGCAGAGGAGGTGGATGAGCTTGACAAGGAAGACCAGGAAATGAGTAGGAAATACTTTCAGTACAACTGACTCAGTGTTCATTCTAGCCTTTCTAAAAAGTGGTCCAGTGTGGCAGAGGCCCAGATAAGCTGCGTTATCTGGGTAAAATATGCATATAAAATGAACTCATTTCCATTATATTTAAGTTGGTTTTGAATGACATAGTCATAAGGCAGAACATACCTGCTTAGTAAACTTACTCAGTCACATAATACTTAAGTGAGTAAAATGACTGAAATACGCACATGTTTGAAAGCAGTGGGTAATGGAAAATGAAATACCCACTCAACATTCATAATACCCACTCCAAAAAAATCCAGTTGGTACAGTACCCACATGAGCTAAATCTTATCTGGAGCTCTGCAGTGTGGGCTTCTTAGAAAATACTGTGGATCATGTCAAATTGTTGTGATGTATTAGCCATGCAGAACTCAGTAGTTACTATTATGACTTCACTTACCTTTTTTAACATTCTATAGAGGTAAGGTCAACAATTTGAAGAGTGTTCTTATCATTTTGATCAGTTGGACAGTGACCAATACATTTTTATGTTGTCAGAATGTTTCGGAGAGCAGTGTTTGCTATTGCTAGAAGTAGAATAAGGCAGCTTCTGTAATGATAACATTGTAAATACTCAGAAGGTGGATTGTGTTTAAGATAAAGTTGTCTTTAATAAGTTAGTGACACGTTTTAAATTGTTCATGTGTTAAAGAAAACAACAAATTATAAGATTTCCAATAATGTGAGCTCCTTCTAAACTTCACTGGTGCCAATTTCCAATGAAATTTTGAAATATTCCTTGGCGTGATTCCTGTGTTTTATGGTGGATGTTTCCAGCCCATAGATAGCGCTGTGTTCTTATGAGATGATGTTGTGTGTTGCTGCAGCAATGAATGAGGAAGCCATGGAGGAGGATATGACAGCCAATCAGATGATCCTGGCTGCCACCATGACTGCACAGATACCCCAGATGACTCATGGTGAGTTGGTCTTCGTATCACTGATATAGAGCTCTGGTGGTGAAAGTTCAAGATCAGGGGTGGAAATAACCAATTGCCCGACGTCCGAGTCCAGTGTTTTTTTTGTCGGGCAAGCAAATTTGTATATCACACTGTACCGGTGTCCAGTTGACTTTCCAATGTTAATAATGTTGTTTATTTAAAAAATCAACAAGAAAACAGCTGGTATAGTGGAAAAATGATCAGGGCAAGTGATTTTACACATGCCACTGTACCGGAGTACACTAGCAATTTTAAGGTTATTTCCACCCCTGAAGATCATTGCCCTAAGGCAGTGCCAAGTGACAGGTTGGGTTAGTAAACCATAAAGTAGTATAAAATGTTTGGCCCAGACTGTAATGGTGAAGTTAACATTGGAGGTATTTCAGAATGTCTTTATGTGAAAAAATGAAGGGGAAGTTATAGAAAATGCAAAACAAATGATTAATCTGTCTTTGTAATTAATCATAATTCCAGGCATCCTTGTCATAACCCTGAAAATAATAATCATAAAGAAGACTTTAGGGGGTGCCATGGATTCAAATACTGTAGCAGCGAGTCATTAAGGATGCCAAAGACCTACACTAACTGTTTTCCTTTTTCTGCCTTGAGGGCACTAGTAATCTTTTCGGGGTGGTGGGGTAGTCTAATGGTTAAAGCGTTCGCTCGTCACGCCGAAGACCGGGGTTCGATTCCTCACATGGGTACAATGTGTGAAGCCCATTTCTGCTGTCCCCCGTCATGATATTGCTGGAATATTGCTAAAAGCGGCATAATACTAAACTCACTTGCTCACACAATTGATCTTTGCACTGTCTTATGTCTAGGTATTCCCCTCAAGAAGATGTTGTTGGACCAGTTCACTCTGACAGAGATTTTGCGAATACACTTGGCTTCATCTGGAGCCCGTGCCAGCATGAAGAATGCCAGGTTCCGGTATCAGCAGAGAGGAGGATACAGCTCACTTGATGATGCAGGCTTCGAGTTGAAGATGCAGGATCCAGCTGTGATCAAAGCTTTAGCCATGCACAGTCTGTTTGATCTTGTTCCAGGTGAGTTTACTCCTGATGTCACTTAGAATCCACTAAACACGGTTCATTCTGTTAGTGCTTTCTTATAACGAACACATTTGTAACAAACTGCCTTTTTCGTCCTGGCCACTTGCTGTATTAGTCAAAATTCATATAACAAACTACAGTTTTCAGGGGTGGAAATAACCCATTGCCCGACGATATGTCCAGTATTTTTATCTGCCGGGCAAGCAAATTTGTATATCACACTGTACCGGTGTCCAGTTGACTTTTCAATATTTATTATGTGGTTTATTTAAAAAATCAACAAGAAAACGGCCGGTATAGTGGAAAAATTATCAGGGCAAGTGATTTTATATGTGCCATTGTACCGGAGTACACTAGCAATTTTAAAGTTCTTTCCACCCCTGAGTTTTAGCAAACTATAGGTCATGTTGATTTAGTTATAACTGTAGTTTATTGCATTTCAAAATAACATAGGGATAAAATCATCGTGATAGTAAAAACGGTTGAAATTATTTTATCAGCGTGATCAGATACATTTCCCAGATATATTTCTTGATGAAATTGTTAAGTGCATCAGACATCATGCAACTTTGTGCGATTCTGTGTTTACCCAGAATCTTATGTTTATTTTGTAGTGTTTATATGTATCTTTAGGTTAGGCTTGTTGATTATGTGACATGTTATCATAACATGTCGTTTTTAGGTACCCGTAATAGGATATACTCATAGGATTGTTTTAAAGCAGTAGTGAACACGAAGAGGAGGCAGGGAGCACTAATGATGAGGTTCAAGTTCTTCTTGTTCTTCATGTAATTATGTTTAAAGGCTGCCTCCGTGGTGTAGTGAGCTTCTGCCTGGAGAGCGGAAGGTTCGATTCCTGGGAGCGTCATACCAAAAAGACATTAAAATATGGTACTTGTTGGTCCCTGCCTGGTGCTTGGACTTAATGGGTACAACAATTGCTGGTCGGCTCGGAGTCAGTATATTGTTTCAGAGTGGGGGTATTCATGCTTAAATGTGGCATGGTAGCTCAGCGAGCTGGCACTATAAAACCAGCTGAAGTCTGGGCTAGTACAAGCAGTCACACATATACACGCATGCACGTTGTCATATGAGCAAAAAATTCTCAAGGACGACGTTGAACCCCATTTCACCTCACCTCACATAATATGTTTAAGCAGTCCCTGTTCAGTTTGTTAACACAGATTTTGTCTTGTGCAGGGGACAAGTTACGCATACTCAACACCCTACTGCAGCAGATTCTATCATACGCTGCTGCCCGGGACATTGTAGAGGAGAGCTATGAGAAGCTGCGTCTGATGAAGTATGACCTTAAACAGTTGCAGTGGGCAGAGCAGAGGAGGGAGAGAGAGGATGCACAGGCCAAGTAAGTCGGATGTCATTTCTTCATGAATTATCCTGAAACTACTAAATCTGTTTATAAGGGCTCCTATCCACTTACTTTGATAATGGAATATGCCAGCTTGCAAAGCATCTTGGGCAGGTCTCAAGTTTTTATTTATCAGTGCATATCATATTGTGTGCTTATGATTATTTTTAGTAAAACTATTGTAACTAATTGTTTTGCCTTTTGTGTCGTTGTGATTGAAGTTAAGCATGAAGGTGAAGGGATCCTTGTGTTAACCCTCCCATTAAAAGTTACACATTTAAGGGTCCATCTATTCTAATACAATGGATTACCTCAAGGACTCTTGGATCCTCATTCTATCAAATGTACAGTAGTCCCTATTCATTTTTATAGATACCGTCAGCGTCAAGAAGAGAAACAGAGAGAACGAGAGCGAAAGATTCAGAAGATCCTTGAGAGAGAACAGCAGCTCAAGGCAGAGGAATCTGGGTAAAAATCTGAGTCAAAATTTAATATAGATGTGATAGTCTCAAACAATCCTTCAGAATATCCTCTTAGAGTTTCTAGTTTAGCTTCTTGTTTCCATCTGATAAAACATTGGATCTGATAATTAGAGAAAAGAATGTTTAATATTTAGTAGATCTTTTATCTGTATCATGCTACATTGACACTTTACTTATTATTTCACAGCAATGGTCCTGTGAATGGTGATGTTAATGAGCCAAAGATGCTGAAGAACAAACTCTTATTGTTGGATGAAGACAGAAATACACCCAGTCCAGACTTAGATGATGATAATCTCACAGAAGAAGAGAAGCAGAGGAGGAGGAAGAAAGAAGAAGAGGAGGAAGCAAAGAAAAAAGCAGAATTTGCCAAGAAGGAAGAGGAAATGGTCAGCAAGATTATGGAGTTACAACGGACGAATGCCTTGTACCCAGTAGGCAGAGACCGAATGTATAGGCGATACTGGGTGTTCCATGCCCTACCAGGCTTGTTTGTGGAAGATAATGAAGTGAATGTTGACCCAGAAGTGTTAGATCCCTTTTCCACTTACCTTGAAAAACACAACTCAATACCTCATCTTACACTCATGGATGAAAAGAATACAAGTAGTGATAAGGAGAATGACTCCATGAATACGTCTGTGGATACAAGTGTAGCTGGGAATGTTGTCCAGCCACCTAAAGATCCTAGAGTGAAGGCTCTGAAGAAAGATGAGGAGGTGATTGTGATTAGTGACTCAGACAGTGAAAGTCGAGCAGCGTCTAAAGATGGAGAAATGGAGGTTGATGAAGCCCCAGTGCTTGATGATGAACCTCCCCCTGCTCTGGAAAGCCTTGCTGCTCAGCAGATCTCGAACAGGAAGAAAACGATGTGGTCCTTTTTAGATAATTCTGACCAACTTCATGAACTTCTGGATTGTTTAAACATGAGAGGATTCAGGGAAAGAGAATTAAAGCAATCGTTATTTGAGATTAAAAGTACAGTGGTGAAGTGTATACGTCAGTGTCCTGTTGAGGACTTGAACCTGCCTCCAGAAGCTATGGAAGAGGCCAGAGTCAAGGCTCTTGCTCTTACTCGGGGGATCTCTGGCAAAAAGGCTGCTCGTGGCACAGTGCAAAATGATACAGCACAAGAAGCAATAGAACTCAATCTCAGAGACACATTGTTAGACCTGGAAGACAGGATCTATGCGGGAAGTTTAGGATACATGAAAGTAAGTTCAACTTGTCATTTAGACAGTAGGGTTTAATCTGGATGCTTCTGTTGACTGTGAAATAATTTGGTTTAACATGTCTGGATGAACAATGTCCCATATAATATGTACTGATATTCCCTGCTGTTATTGCATAGAAGATGGGATTCAGGACTAATGCCCTAGTAATGGATTAATCAGGTTTCCCTACATGTCCCTTGGACATTTGTGGAAGGTTTTTGTTGTGCAGTGTCACTGTCAGGCTTAACATCATGAACAAACTTAAATACATGTACTTGGTTATTCATGTTTTGAATTTTTCTTGCAAGTGTGAGCAATCTGCTAATATCATTTGTTTTGCAGAATGGCTGTAATATAATTAAGTTAGATGTATTCCGTGGGACCTTTCTTGATAAATGTCAGCGCAAATGTTGAGCAGGGGAAACAGTTAATTCATAGCAGTTGCTTGAATAATGATTATGATTATGACAGGCAAAGGGCTGCTTGTTCAGTAGATGCCTCATGTATCATAACAAAGTCCTTTGTTACATTTGTTACTTGAAATTGCATCTGGCATCAAAAACTGTTTTCCATTGTGAAACTAATGTTCCGAAAATTTTCGTTATCTTACATATATAATTAGTATAAGCTGATCTTGAGGATGTCTTCACCATGAAATCGAAAGACCGATTGTTTCAAAATTAGTACCTGTTGTAAGCATGGTCCATGCTTCACTTTCCAGACCCATTTGACCTGGGAAGGTCCGGGTTAGAATATTGATCTTCAGTAACCCATGCTTCTCGTAAGGGGCGACTAACGGGATCGGGTGGTCAGGCTCGCTGACTTGGTTGACACATGTAATCGGTTCCCATTTGCGCAGATCGATGCTCATGCTGTTGATCACCAGATTGTCTGGTCCAGACTCGATTATTTACAGACCGCTGCCATATAGCTGGAATATTGCGGGGTGCGGCGTAAAACTTAACTCTCACTCACTCACTCCAGACCCATTTCTGGAGTCATGGAGCTGTGATTTTGCTGGAATATTGCTAAAACCGGCGTTAAATCATACATACTTACTCACTCGCTCACTTGCTTTCCAGATCAAGGACAGAGCAGCATGGAGAGATGCAATAGAACAAGGCAGCTATTTTTCCCAGAATGATGACCCAGTGTTTACCAGGCCAAAAATAGAGTAAGTTTCCCTCTAGATCTCTATTTTGGTAGGTGTTGATCAAACCATCATTTGGTTGACCATAAACTGAAAATACTAAAGAATGAGGGAGGGATCAGAGGTGACAAACCCTTCAACAGAACATTATGAGGTCATTTTCAAACTTATAGGACTAACTTGGACAGGTCATATAAACCTACAATCTGATTGTTACTGAGTTGATATGCATGTCACATTTCAGTACGGTCTGCACTTATAGTCTGTTTGCAGTGAAAACGTACTGATGAATTTCTCTTTAAGCAAAAAAGTAAATCAAATAAAATGAAATTAAGATTGTCAATCCTCATAATTTTACCTTGCCAATTAAACATTCATATTTCAGAATTTTATTCAACTTAGGATAAAAGTTGTTTAACAGACAATCATAGATTCAAATTGCTTTTATTGGTTTGTATTACAAGGGAGTAAACACAGTAATTGGAACAGTGATACAAATGCACGTGCAGTACGTGATGAGCGTTAACTTAGACCAACCCTACTTGTTCTCAGTGTTTCATTTAATGTGCATACCCCCTTGTAATACAAACCAATAATAGCGATTTGAAACTATGATCGTTTGTTAAAAACTTTTATCCTAAGTTGAATAAAATTCTGAGATTTAAATGTTCTATTAGCAAGGTAAAATCATGAGGATTCGCACTTCTGATTGCACTTTATTTGATTTACGTTTTTGTTTAAAGTGAAATTAATCGTTTTCACTGCAAACAGACTATAGTCTAAGTAAACACTGCTATACTGAGTCTAACAAACCCTAGTAGAAGGTCGCTTCAGGCCCCACTCCACAACACACACCACCACAACACAACACACCACACTAATATCTGTTCCCCTTTGTTTGTGCAGGGCAGTTGACCTCTCGCCAGAGTTAATAGGTACGGAGGCGGTGGTGCGAGACCTTAGTCGGGCGTTACTGCAGGTTGCACGTGGCCTGGAACCAAAGTACCTGGGTGTTCCTTTAGGTAATGTCCACATTGTATGTATCATGTTCATGTAGTTCATATCTAATTTATGATTTGATACAAAATTATCACGTCTATGATTTTGCAGAAGATATGAGATATCAAGGATTTCCTTCTTTTGATGGGTCAGTGATGGAAACTGGTATTACTTTAACAACCCTTACCAAACTGCTCAATAGTTAAGGTACCATAAGGTCTAGTCAAATTGGCCATGTTCAAAATGTTGTCACTGTTAGGACCAGTGATCTTAAAATGTTACTTTCTGTTGCTATCGGGTGCTTACAAATCGGACAATGGTCTTGAGACACTTTGGATGATGATCAGCCATTCTCTAGAAATGAAACTGATCTGATACATGTGTCAAAAACTCCCAGAGAACACCAGTTTTAATCATGTTTGCATAGCTCATGATCAGTGCACTTTTATGAACTGCTTATTGCTGATACTGCCATTGTTAGCACATTGCAACACTGACTGATATAGACCTAAATAGTATAATGAATACAAAATCAATCTCCTGAAGCTGGATTTCACGTTCAGTATAAAACTAAATGTAAACATCAGTATATCACTGATAACAAGGTTAGTTTTATATTTTATGTTCAGGTGAGAGTGATGATGCAAAAAAGAAAAGATTGAAAGCAGAGAAGGAAGCTGCAGAGAAGCGGGCCAAGAGGAAAGACAAGGCAGAGGTTGACAGTGATGGTAAAGAAACATTCAGTAATCATTACTCACAAACCTGTGAAGATCTGGGTTAGAATTGGTCTTCAGCAAACCATGCTTCATATATGACTATGAGGTGACTAAAGTGATAGGTTGGTCAGACTCACTGACTTGGTTGACATATGTCATGGTATCCCAATTGCATAGTTCAATGCTCCTGATGTCAATCACAGCATTGTCTGGTCAGGATTCACATTATTTATAGACCACCCTTGGAAACTTGCTGAGTGCAGCGTTAACAAAAATTTCGTCTCTTAAAAAATTCAGTGTCTGAAGTAAGTCAGTAAAAGAGTCTTTTAGTGCGAAATATTACGCAGTAAATAGGGACAAAATCATTCAAATCTGGGAAATAGCATGTACATTCTGAAGTAGCAGGAACATGCCACATGAATGCATTATCTTCTCCCTTTAATAGGGGCAGTTGGGTAGCCTAAAGCGTTCGCTCGTCATGCCAAAGACCCTGGTTCGATCCCCCACATGGGTACAATTGTACAATTTTATTATGCCCATTTCTGGTGTCCCCTGCTGTGATATTGCTGGAACATTGCTAAAAGCGGAGTAAAACCATACTCACTCACTCTTCCTTTAATACCATTCAGAAATATCAGACCTGTCAGCACCAAATAGTTCTGTACTTAAATGTCTTTAGGTTGTGTCATGATATGACATGTGTTGTAGATGATGACAAGGAGGATGTGAAGCAACAGAAGACAACCTATGAGAGATGGGAAGAGGCCTTGTTGTCAGTGAGCAGCCTGACCCAAGTGTTCCTTTTCCTCTCCACACTGGACAAGAGTATCATCTGGTCCAAGTCTGCGCTCCATGCTCGCTGTCGGCTCTGTCGAAGGAAGGGAGATGGGGACAAGATGTTGCTGTGTGATGGCTGTGATAGAGGCCATCACATGTATTGTCTGAAACCTCCTGTAGAGGTAAGGCCCTCACATTTTCTACTTAAATATAACTATTGCTAAAGAACTTTATCAGTATATTCCACTTTGTTTATGTACTTTTATCTGTACAACAGTAAATAAATTTCAGTTTGACGGTGAAAACTGATGAGATCATTACTGTAAAAAAGTTCTACTATTACAACTACAATGTATTGGCCATGAACTATTATCTACCAACATACTTCTATCAGAAAATACAACTGTACCATCATGATTCTGCCCCAAAGTACTATCGCATCATTTGGGGTCACTTTTCTTTTTTTGGTTTATAGAAAGTACCAACAGGTGACTGGTACTGTCCAAACTGTAAACCAAAGGAAGTGAAGCGCAGTCCAAGGAAAGACCGCCGAAAGACCTTTGAAGAGGAAGACCAAGAAGTTGAGGAGGAAGAGAAAGATGAGGAGGAGGAAGATGAAGAAGAGTAAGTAGTTTCTGACATTTTTAACTGCTGAACAGTCAGAACTTCAAACTGATATGAAAGGCTTCTATATGTGTGTTCATTTTATTTTATTTTGCCCCACATGGGTACAATGTGTGAAGCCCATTTCTGGTGTCCCCCTCCGTGATATTGCTGGAATATTGCTAAAAACGGCGTAAAACCATACTAACTCGCTCATTTTATTTTGCTCTTTATTTCATTTTATATTGCTCTTTATTTCATTTTGTGGAATGCTAAAACCCCTTTCTATGAGGATATTTTCTTAATGGGGATGATACTTTAGAGGCAAAGACTTTTCTCAGCCTTGCATTATATGCCCTCTGTATGTCTAACAAAAACACACAATTCCTGTGTCATATGCTAATCAGTCTATGTTTATCATATTTTCATAGCAAACAAGTCACTAATCAGCTTAATATTGTATTTTACAGTTCTGATGCAGAGAGTGAGGAAGAGGAGGAGGAAGAGGAGGAAGAAGATGAGAATGAGAACCTATGTGTGAAGTGTAACAAGCCAGGCATGTTGCTGTGTTGTGACAGCTGTCCAGGCTCATACCACCTCACCTGCGCAGACCCACCCCTCAAGAAGGTCCCCCGGGGCAAGTGGTTGTGTCAGGTCTGTCTGGGTGTGGACAAGCCTGGTGGCAAGATAAAGCTTGTGCACAAAAAGAAGAGTAAGACACATCTTCAGTCCATTTTGTTTTTCAGAGTGGTTTTGTTATGAGTAACTGCAGTGGTATAGATACACATGTTCGTGTTCTCTTGAACAAGTCCGAAATGAGTAATATTGATATTCTTTTGTAAACACAAGGATTCCAAATAGTTCTTTGACAAAGTTTGTTACTGATACCTGAAAATGTGGAAGGGATATGTGCATTATACTCAATGTTTTTCTTCAAAATGCTAAATCCCTTAGAAGAAGAAATATGAAACAAGAAAATATGATATTGTAAGAATGTCTTAATGCGTTACTTCCTATGCCAGATTAATCACTTCCATATAATAATGCTACACAATGGACCCTTCAACTTTGGCAGGATCCCCTAGTTTTATGTTGAAGGGGACCAAGTGACCCCTAGAAATCTGAAGCTCACTGTGTTGAAATAATGTTGGCTTTGACATGTGTAAGCATTTACTCTTCTTAGGGAAGTCTGAACAGTGGCGATTCTATACCAAGTTTGAGTTCAAGTGGTTAGTGTCAAGTAAAATTTAACGGATATGCTTTGTTCTGAAGATTCCAGTAGCAGTAAGAAAACAACTCCAGGCAGAGCTACCCCCAACTCTAGCCTCCCAAGCTCTCGTAGAGGCAGCCCCAGGGACAGCCCTGTCCCCACCAAACCCCGGCGTAGCCACCCTGTATCTGAAGAGAAACCTAAGATGCAGAAGAAAACATCTACCTCAAGACTCTCTCAGGATGCATATGCAGGTACATTGTGTTTTACTAGATGAGTGAATGAGTTTATTCTTTTTCAGAAGAAGTCCTCCTTGGGGTACATATAAGCATTTAAATGTCCATTTTAAATCCTGCGACAGTTGTAACTATATTTTTTAATAAAATATTTACAAAACAAAAAACTCGTTTTTGTCTTGTGAGACCACCCCTACAGGGCCCCACCGAACCCCCTACAGCCAAGAGCAGGTAACTCTCGCCGTCTACCTCGTACCTCACTTTTCATGGTGTCGTTCTGTTGAATCGACGTGCGTGGTGTTCGTTTCGAGTTGCTCTCCTACCGATACGATGAGTGTAAAGAGTCTCAATCTGTATGTATGGTTCCTTTCTCTGCGCACGGGTGTTAGATGGACGTCATATGTTGATATTCTCATTCATCTTTTGTTGTAACTTTGCCGTCGGTTCTCTGTTTTCCAGCCATGTGGCAGGCAAAATGGCGGACCGCGCGATCGTGGTTTCCTTGCTATATGTTCTTGGTAGCTTGTAGTAGGGAGTTCATATATTATGTTTGCATATTATATGGTAGGCTTGCCTAAATTCTCTTCCTTTTCAGCGAATTTGTGGTAAGTCGTTGTTGAGTAATTTTGATAGTGTTCGTTTCGTATCACTCAACTTTACTCTATCACTAGTATGTACACACAGGTTTGGCTAGCCTTTTTTTCTGCTTTGCATTGTATGTTTAGTATTTAAATGGCTGTAGCTTGTAGCATTTAAATATCGCCCGTGCGGGTTATTCTTGCTATTTACTTGTGTTTATGTGTTTGCTGCTTCACAGTTCCTGCTAGTTACACTGGCGTGGTTCTGTTTGTTGCAGTTTAAGCCCTGTGCATTGTGCCGTGTACACTACCGCCACAGGATGGTCATAAAGTGTGCCTCCGGTGTTTAGCCGAGGATGCTCACGACGATCAAGGATGCTCATAATAAACGCCCTTGCGTCAATATTCCTGTTACATTATGTTGTGTTATGTTACACATATACATATTTCATACGTTTACACACTACTTGGCTCATAGGCCGAGGTTGTGTTTTTTGTCTGGGTTTCTGCGCCTCACGCGCATTCTTTCAGACACGCAGATTTTATGTTTTTCACAAATCTGCTTCAGGCGGGGGATAATATTTGATGAAAGGTTTCTAAGGAAATCCCTTTATCGTTCCCCCGCAAGCAATGTTGCTGCCTTAAATATGGACTCAATTGCTTCACTATTTCAGCAACATATGCTTCGGCAGATGACTAATGTGAAGTCATGATTGATAGCGCGATGTCTGGGCTCCGTCAGGAGCTCTGCTCGCAATGTGTTGATCTCGATGGTAAGTGAACCAGGTGTTGTCTGTGAAATCCCTGATTGACACGGCGCTGTCTGGGTTCCGCAAGGAGCTCAGCATGCCTGTCGTCGGGGGTGGATCGGACGCATCTTGGGGGGGTTGGCTGCGGCCCAAGCTCTGGCTCGGAGAACGCGCCTCCTCCCAGGCAGCTTGATCCTGGCTTCGGCTCAGGTGATGGTGTGCCTTCGGCACCTTGTGGCGACCTAGCTTCGGGCTCAGGTTCGTCACAGGCGCCTGGCGCCGGCGATGCAGGTTTCACCTCGGCGCCTAGTGGTCAGTCGGGGTTGCCCGGGAAACCTGTATCGGCAGGTTCCTCTCGGCGCCCCGGTCTGGGTTCCACTGAGCTGCCGATCACCTCGACGCTCCTAGGTCTACCCGTGTACACCAGGAGAACCCTGCATTGCCAGGCTACTCCCTTGTGTCTCGGGACTGCAGATCGGACTAGCACCGACCTGGGCTTCGGCCCCGGTACGGAGCAGATCCCCGGCGCTGTTAGCTCAGGTCTCGGCCTGATGTCTATCGATGCCCTGGCCAAGAGGCCGTTGAGTGTGACGGAGCTACCGATCACCTCGACGCGCCGAGGTCTACCTGTGTACACCAGGGGAGCCCTGCATTGTCAGGCTACTCCCATGTGTTTCGGGATCGGGGTTCGAACTCGAACCGCCGACCCGAGCACTTACGCGATATATATATATATAGGTATATATATACACACATATATGTGTATGTAGATACATATATGTGTATGTATGGGTATTTATATAGCGCTATAGGCTATGTTTGACTATATGCTCAGTGCGCTTTTGGAGAGTACTTGGGGAAACCTGATTTATCAGGCTATTCCTCGTGTCTTCGGCTCCGCGGATTTTCTGAACCCCGTGGGTAGCACCGACCCAGGCTTCGGCACTGGTAGGGCGCAGATTCCCGGCGCCGGTAGTTCAGGTCTCGGCCTGATGTCTATTGACGTCTTGACCAAGATGCTATCGAGTGTGCCGGGTGTGTCGGTCACCTCGATGCTCCGAGGTCTGTCTGAGTGCTTGTGAAACCTTGATTTGTCAGGCTTCTCACATGTGCCTCGGAACCAGGGTTCAGGCTCGTACAGTGGACAAGTCGATTTGAGCTTCGGCTCATTTCGCTACTTTGACCTTACTACTGAGTAGGTTCGTCCCTGAGGCAAGTGCGAGATAGCATCGCGGCTGTGTTGCCTCGGGTGTTGTCCACGTCGAATACCCGAACCGTTGGAGTTCGCCTCCCGGAGAGAAGCCTGCTTCCAGCAAGGCATACGGGACAAGGCCTCACACTCTACTGTCAGTCTGCCGTTCTTTCCCCTTAACAGCTCAACGCTGTATGCTCCACTCGTCGCATCGCTCAGCTCTGCTGAGGGAGCTGGTGGAAAGGGGAGAGAGTGCCGGTGGAATTTTTTCGTCGGCGACTCGGGGCGGCATCTGACGGAGGTCAACTCTCATCTGGCTAGGGACTGCATTGTAGCTGTGCCAGCCAAATGATGAGTGCGGTTATGGGCCTATGACGCCCAGGACTGTTTCGAGGAATACGGAAGTCTGTCGAGCTTCTCTTTAATTCCTCAGGTGCCCAGGCACCGGCAAACGTTAAGTTGCCGACTGCTGGGGTTTACTGTATTCTGCCGCAATCCCCGGTCGGAGCAACACACTCCAGTGTCGGCTTCCCGGGAGACGGCAAAACTACTCCCCGTGCCGAGATCCAGTCTCTGCTGGGCAAGGCAACCAGCGTGGTGGTTTCCAATGGTCAGGAAAATGTGGGGTTTGACTCCATTTATTTCATCGTTGCCATTAAGAACGGAATGTTCAGACCCATTCTCATCTGAGAGCTGAACAAGTTAATAGAGGTACTGTCCTTCAAGATGGAGACACCGCGCTCGGTGATCTCATCTGTCGACAGGGGATTGGCGCACGTCTATCAACCTCGAGGTCGCGTACCTCCTTGTTCCATTGCACCCTGATTTCAAGATTTACCTTCGGTTCTTGTTTGACGGGGGCGGTAGGGTAGCCTAGTGGTTAAAGCGTTGGCTCGTCACGCCGAAGACCCGGGTTCCATTCCCCACATGGGCACAATGTGTTAAGCCCATTTCTGGTGTCCCCCGCCGTGATATTGCTGGAATATTGCTAAAAGCGGTGTAAAGCTAAACTCAGTCAGTCAGTCTTGTTTGACGGGACGCGCTACCAGTTTCGTGCTCCCCTTAGGCTACATTACGGCGCCAAGGGTGTTCACCAAATTGAGGTTTATTACAGCTCAGATAGCCAGATCACAGTGCCGGTGTTGTCACCTGTACCTAGGCGACTGGCTCATCGTGGTTTTAGAATAACTGGAGACCTCACGATCAGAGTTGGTCAATCTTACGAAACTGGGCGGAATTGTCAACCTCACGCAGTCAGATGGACAGACGTCAGGCGTCTCTCCGAGGGTCACCCCCCCTGGAGACACCGTCGCTCTCAGTCCAGCCAGATACGTCCCTACCGGGTTAGGGCGATGTTCTTGGCGACCTGCAGTCTCTTGACGACAAAGTCACAACCTGCACATCAATGTGCTGGAATTGACAGCAGTCAGGTTGGTGTTTGATCCCGCACGCTGGGTTTCGAATTACCTTTTCGGCCAGACATTCTCACTCTGAACGGGGCGCCACACCCGAATCCTCGGATTCACTGGGTGGCTTGGCCTCTGTCGGGTATAACGCCCAGACACGCGGAATTCCTGCAACCGTTGCAGACACAATTCTGGCTTCGAGGCGGGATTCGACACCCGTTCAGTGTGTTGATAGGTGGGGCGCGCTGGTGTGCAGATAGGGGGATTTCATAATCCATATTCTGCGGATTTAGTTCGGATATTGGAGTTACTATAACCTCGTTTTGGTTGAGAGCTTTATGACCTCCACCATTCCCGGGTACTCCATGGCTATTTCCACGTTTCACACCTCGTTCGATGGTGCTCTGCCTAGGCAGCATCCTCTCGTACATCGCGTCATAGCTGGCATGAACAGGGTTCGACCGCCTCGGCGGTGACCCAGCTCACCTTAAAATTGCCACTTATTCTCAATTGGCTGTCTGGCCCTGATTTTTCAAGTATATCGTCTCTCTCACTTCACTTGTTGACGTGGAAGACGACTTTACTTGTGTTGTGGTGAGCTCTGGTAGAAGGGTCGGGTACATCCATGCGATTCCCACTGACCCGACACTGACAGTATTTTATACTGATCATGTCCGTATTCGTCTCCCGGATACCTACCACTCTCAGTGCGATATTGCTTTCCACGTGACTGCTCATATCGCACTTCCACCCCTTACCCAGCCTTCCACACCGGGGACCAATCTTTCGATTGCTCACCCGTGACTGTCACGAACGAACGAACAAAAGGGATCCGTACTGGTACCCATGTGTTCTGTTTGGTGGCGGGAAGACTGGGGAGTCTGCTAGCAAGCGCACTTTATCTCGTTGGCTTGTTTCCATAATTGTTCGGTTACAATGATAAGGTTTACCTCCCCCTGAGGGGTTGAAGGCAGACTGGGTTGGGCAGATGCCGCTTTGTTGGCAATACACAGCGGCACTGCTCAATGAAGAGATCGGTTCTGTCGCTCTTTGGAGCCGGCAGAACACCTTCATTCACCGTTCGGTCTTTTCGGTTCTCTACAGTGGAGAGTGTCCAGCCACCCTGACCAAGTTAGTAACTGGTCATTGGTATCGGTTCTGTGTTCAGTGTCGATATATTTCATATCACTACATCGTATTAGCCTTACCATCCTTTCGGGTTTGGTCGGGTTTGGGTGTACATCCTTACGTCCTCTTCAAGAGGGCGGGGTCCGTTTTGAACGCTTTAACCAGTCCTATGCTATTAACCCGTCTTGCGACGGAATTAGGTACGAACCCCCCACGGGGCACTGTTTGGTATGCCTCTCTTTGAGCCGCATGTCACGTGACCAGGTTAGTGTAATGGTGAGCCAACACATGTTCGGCTACGCTTTTCGCTATTCAGGGGATTTTTGTACGCTTACAGTTTTTCCCTCTTCCCGAGGCTTCGGTATTTGGGAGTCTGTGTTAATCAGCTTTGTGGGATGGTGGTCTACACTTACCCTCCTCACGCCGAGAGTGTTTGGTGGGGGTGTTTTATCCTGTTTTTCACTCGTACAATGCATGGCGTTTGTACTCGTTCGATTTCCTCAGAAAGATTTTAGCGAGTCTAATAATTTCTCTGGGTTTTATCGAGGTCCCGGCAAGCCCTCTTCCAAACAGGAGGGGTGCATTCGAGCATTAGTTTGCAGTACTTATTAACTCGACTCCTGGGTTATTGGCTTTTTAGCGTTTAGATTTTTACGCTTTCCCTTCCCTTATACCTCTCGCCACACTTCTCTGGCTGGGGCTATATTAGGGTTGGGAGTTGTTTCGACATGTCCCCATACATTCCTTTCCATTGTAATGGTTGGGGGTGGGGTTTTATGTCATAATTGATTGAGCCAATTGACATATAAGCTTGGGCTCTCTAGTTCACGCCCCCGTCTGATTGGCATCAGCGGTCAGGTGGCTCGGTAGGTGTTTTTTCTATTTTCGTATCGGTTGTAGATTTCACTCCACCACGGGTTTAGTTGTTGCCAGACAGAATGCCACTCCCGTCTCAAATATCTTTGGGAGTCTGTCATATGCTTATATGTACCCCTAGGAGGACTTCTTCTGAAAAAGAATTATACAAACCTGTAGAGGTTATGAATTCTCTGAAGAAAGTCCTCCTTGGGGTACAGCCTCCCCTCATTCTGTCTGACACGTTCAGCATGAAAAGTGAGGTACGAGGTAGACGGCGAGAGTTACCTGCTCTTGGCTGTAGGGGGTCCGGTGGGGCCCTGTAGGGGTGGTCTCACAAGACAAAAACGAGTTTTTTGTTTTGTAAATATTTTATTAAAAAATATAGTTACAACTGTCGTAGGATTTAAAATGGACATTTAAATGCTTATATGTACCCCAAGGAGGACTTTCTTCAAAGAATTCATAACCTCTACAGGTTTGTATAAGTTTTACGGCGCACTCAGCAATATTCCAGCTATAAGGCGGCATGTTTTACAAACTTATGTGGTTATAGAATCTCATTCCCAAAGTATCCCCTATCAGTTAAGGTACTGGTCTCAACTACATGCAAATGTATGTAGGGCAAGGTAAACTCTTTCTGCCAAGGCACATCAGAAAATAAAACCACATCTAAAATAGATGAAATTAAGTACTGATATTCAAAGGTTGGACATTATGTCATTTCAAAAACATTAGTGCAATGTAAAGTTGTCTTCCATATCCTTTCTTTTGGGTGAAAGTTATGGGTTTAGACAGGTTGTAAACTGTTCACTTGTGACACATTATTTGTGAAGCCGATTACTGGTTGCTCCCATGTTATTATTGGAGTTTTCAGTACTGTTAAAAGCAACATCAGTGACTTTATCACCCTTTTGTGGAAAATCGTTCAGTTGTAGCCTCATAAATACAAAATAAAAATTCAGATAGGGGAAATAGCAGACTTGACTCTTTAGATAGTAGGAAAAGCAATCACTTTTTATCGTCTTGGGCTTCGTTTAGGACAAATCCAAATTTCAAAATAGAGGTGGTAAGGGGATGTAGTAATATCGTTGGCATATACACTGGCTTAAAAATGTACACATGCTTCAATTAGATTTGGTGGTCAGAGTTCGCAGAATGCAACCTTCTATTCAAAGCGTTGTCAGATTAACATTACAAGAATGTTTTATTGGAATGAAAGATCTTAATTGAATCTGATCTTACTGTAGGTATACTTCAACTAGTGACTGCGTCGGCATTGTTTTTGTGTGAATATCATCCCATTTTGATGTTTCAGATATGGATGGTTCTCCCAAACACTATGTCAGCAGTTACCGTGGAAACAGTACAGTTCAACAGATGAAACATTTGGAAGACATTGTGCATGATCTGGCCAAGATGGATGATGCATGGCCATTCCTGAAACCTGTCAGCAAGAAAATGGTAATAGATGACAAACAATGTTTCATGTAGTTCTCGAGTGCAGCATGAGAAACTGGTGCTATTGCTGTAGCCATAATCTTAATTCTCAATGCATATGGTGACCACAGTTTTGAAAGCCCACATGTGCAGAGATCAGCATCAACAAGTGACATAAATATGCTAGTATCTACCGCTCCAGAAGTGTAACATTGTTAGAACTTTGACATATGGTTACCTCCCCTATCTGCTGTATTTATTCTCACAAATATATTCTGAAGGTCTTTTTACAATATACCGTCTCAGCCTATCAGTCTTTAACTAACAAGGATGTCTTACTGGATTCTTCTGGGAAAGTAGGTAGCCTAGTGTTTAAAGCATTTGCTTGTCACACCGCCTACATGGGTAAAATGTGTAGAGCATATTCCTGGTATCTCTTGCTGTGATATTGCTTGAATATTGCTAAAAGAGCCTTAAAAACCAAATCGCTCACTCACATCTCCCTGGATTCTCCAATATTTCGCTGGTATATTCAGTCAAGGGAGACAATCTATACAGCACACATTCTTTGATGATGCATCAGCAATATTTCACCTATTATTGTGGTTTCACATACACTTGAACATTGCTTATCTTAACAAAATTGCTTTATTGTCAATGATTTGCTTGTGACATGTATTTCTAATTATTTCTTGCAGGTCCCAGACTATTATGATGTTATAGACAAACCGATGGATTTCTCCACCATCCGAAACCGGATCAACAAGTTTGTCTACAAGAAACCTGCAGACCTGATAGCTGATGTTAGACAAATATTTTTCAACTGCATCGAGTACAACAATAGAAAAACACCAGAGTACAAGTGTGGCGCAGGGCTTAGTAAATTATTTGAATCCAAAATTCGGGACTTTGAAATGGAGAATGATGAAAGCTCACCACCTCCAACCAAAAAGTCTAAGAAGTAACAAGACAAAAGACAAGGCATCAGTTCCTAAGGGAGAGCTTTTTTTAAGTGCTGCATTTGTTATCTGTAGTTATTCTGTTGTAGGAAATATTGTTCACACCTAAATGATATATTTTTCATGACCTGTTCTAATAATGATGGCATCGAAGACTTTTGTAACTGTTTATCTTGTACATATGTTTCCCTGTCTGCTGAATGTACATAACGGGGCTTGTCCTAAACACTAACTTTTCAAATTCGTGTTAACTGCATTCTGGTGATGCAACGATACCTTCTTTATGATTCCATGTGTTTTTCAGTATGTTTTGTACTTTACGCAGTGGTCCAAGGATATTGTGTGTTATGTATCTTGTCCTTAACCCAATTGATCACAAAATTACGATAATTATACTGTAGTTTTGTAACTTGCAGACAGACCTTTTAATAATCTGTGAACCACTTGGGAGGCTGGAATTAATTTCAGTTTGGGCCTGTAAAAACCCACAATCCATTATTTTCATATAATGCCCAGTCAACAATTTACTTTGTTAACCCTAAGGAAAAAATATTTTACATCATTTAGGGAATGGATATTTTTATTATTTAAATCACCTCTCACCTAGAGACTTGAATATCATATAGTCCATCCCATATTGTTTCCCTTCTTCAAATTGTAATGTGCACTTTATGCAGCACGCACAACAGTCCTTATAAGGATACATTCAAATGTAAGTACAATGAAACAAAAACTTTTTACACTTTCTGCTGAAGTCTTTGTGAACCTTCCACCTGACTTTAACAGCTCTCTAACTTTAAGTGAATCTTGATCCTGAAGTCTAAATTGCCGTTTGGAGCCTAGAAATAATTAATTAACTTAGTAAGCTTTTAAAACAGACAAATTGTTACAGGAAATTATTCAGTTGAAACATATGTACATATGTACACACTACAGCTCAGAATTGTACTTAAGTCACATTTTTGCAGTACAGTAAATCATGTTTATTTCGAACTTGCCAATAGGAATTATATTACGAAATTTTTGATTTGGTCCACGCCACATGATGTACATTTTAGTCGAAATGCATATAACAATCTGTGTTTATAACAAGCTAATATTAAAGGCCCTATTCAGTACATTATAACCTCAGTTTACTGAATGTTCACAGTTGACTAAGTAACTATAACATGATTGTTATACAATGCCTATTAAACAAGTGAATGCAAATGAAATGGTGTCACTACTGTGATTGCCTACATTCCTGTAAAGCCCTGCTTGATTAGAAACTATGGGCTTAGTACGGTGTCCTAATGGATCAGATAATCAGTACACTTGCTGCACTAGTCACCAGAGGAGTGAACATTCAGTGTACCATGATACTAGATGAAACTCTACACATACAGTATCAAGAACTGTGGTGTGGCCAAAAAACATACACATGCATTCCTATCTCAGTAATAGAAGAAGCGAGGTGGTGGGGTAGCCTAGTGGTTAAAGCGTTTGCTCGTCACGCCGAAGACCCGTGTTCGATTCCCCACATGGGTACAATGTCTGAAGCCCATTTCTGGTGTACCCTGCCGTGATATTGCTGGAATAATGCTAAAAGCGACGTACAACTAAACTCACACTCAATTATAGAAGAGTTTGGGTGTACACCGTGTTTCTGATGGTATTTCTATCTGCAGGGCATGTGAGACACTAACAAACGAAAATACTGGAACGGTTAAAATTTACCTTTGTTGCTAATAATAGATTTAGGACTTTCAGAGGAAACAACCCATACCGTTAGTGATTTGCTCACATCCAACATTTGGCTTATGTTAACCACTTTGCATGTGATGTACTGTTATAACAGCCCTGATAAGATATCAATTTTCAGTGGATCTTACTACATAGTGACCGTCAACCCCAAAAAATTTACTAGTTTCAGTAGACTTTTACTGGTCAATATCGGGTATATACCAGAGAACCTTAACAGCATTAATTTCTGAAAAATATCCCATATGGAATTTAGTTGTACACTCAAGATGCTATAACACCAACATCAGTGTCAGTTCAATATGTTATTGCATAGATACTTTTTGAAAGGGGGTAACTTTCTAGCAGCAGCTTATTGATATCTGTTGTATCGTTACAATTAAATCAGTAAATATCTTGTAAGTATGGAGTGTCTAAGATGGCTTTTCCATGTATTACATGTGTCATGTCATGGCTTAGTGTATCATTACAGGCCTAGTCTATGAGTCAACGATCCGTGGCTGTTATAGTAAAATGATGATTCTGAATAATAATTAATCTTTAACATGCTTATCAGATATTGATGTATCAAAAATATATTTTGGTTTGAAATGTGGTTGTATGCAGTTGAAATCCACTGTAGATTAAGATTTAATCTCTCTCAACAAACTTCTTGTATGCAATTGAAACCTATTCTAGATTAAGAATTCAACTCCCACAACCTTCAAACAGGTGATTTTTTTGCTTCTAATTTGTATCTGACTTTGGAAAAAATCTTTTTTGTATACCAAAGAGGAAAGGGAACAAGAACCTTAACTTCCAGAAACATTAAAGTACAGGTCTTTGGAAGGCATATAAATGTTTTGAGGATATTAGATTTTCTGTTGTTTTCAATGATGTTTCAGGGTTGTATTTTGCATCTTCATTAGGTGAATAATGAGTACACATTTGTAAGTATATCATATATCCATGAATCCATCGCTGTGTAAACTTTGGCCTGTATATGGATGAATAAAAAACTCCACTAGTTCTGGAAATGAAGAAACAAGATGTAGCCCTGAAATGTCACAAGAAGACATATTTGTCGATAAAAAGTTTCAGTGCATTCATATTTAAATACTGTTGCCATTGTGATACAACTACTGCTGTAATGTCTTAATGACCATTTGACATGAATATTTTTATCCTCTTGAACATTTGTGAATTGCTACTTAATAAATGCTTGAAATTCTGTCTTTGCTTAGAAAGATTATTTTCATGATGATTTTCCTCACCGTCTTTGTGTAAATGTCAGTGCATGACTCATTTACTTATATTAATCATTCCATTATTCATTTATTTATTTGACATTCACAAACAACACTTTAGTTGCTAATTAGTATGTAACATGTTTGTTTACATATTTTAATAGAAAGTGTGTTTTCATGTATTACACAATATTTTTCTATACCTCAAGGCAATCCCTTTATAACAGTTGTAACACAATAACTTTAACATGATTCCTAAGTATACTTTAAAGTGTCCCATATAGGCAATGTCTTTTACAAAGCAATACTTAATACTTTGTTATGCCAGGCTGTGATCAATTGGGCAGTCATTTCTTGGGTTACTTGTGAATTATTTCTCGGTAATGTACTCAAGCTAATACACTTAACACACCCTATTTTAGAACTTAAAGTTCCTCAAGATACATCTTTGACACACCAGAAGGCCAGTATCTGAACTTGTGTATATGCTTTCAGACAGAATGCATGACAGCAGTTTTTCAAGATAACAAATAACAGATGTGAGATATCAGGGCTTGACAAAGGCTTCTGTTTACTTAAACATCTATTGTTTAAATCCAAATGAAATACTTTCACTAGTCCTGTATCTGGTCCTTCGAACATATCAAGAAACTACCACTAGGGCCAGTAATAAAATGTTGGTTTTCTGTTACAATTAAATCAGTAAATATCTTGTAAGTATGGAGTGTCTAAGATGGCTTTTCCATGTTGCTATTGCTTAAAATGAAGTGTATATGAACTGTAGGTTTATGTTTAGACCCAACTTTCATCGTTCTCGGTTTACGCTCTGCATGTGTATGCATTGCAAGAATGGCGTATAAATCCTGACACTGAACAGATTGAAAACGTCATGTTACTGAATCAATATGTTATGTATAAACTGTTACATGGATTATATTCAAACACTTTCCACAACCATAACAAATTGAACAATGTCTAAGTGACCAAGGGAAACGTTCATTTCATTCATGTAACCATTGGATTCTCTTCAAGTGTAAACAAATGTGAATTAGATTGTCTGACCATGTAGGTTGTGATGTCACTGCAGGATTTGGTGAATTTGTTTATATCTATCACAAGGACATATACCAACAGAAACAAAACCTAACAGGAGCACTGATTGTCAAAAGTTCCATTCACAAAACAATCAGGTAGTTGAGAATCCTTGCCACTGAAGGTGTATGGCTCAAGCAGCACATCTATATATGTTGTTCCAATAAATCCAATTCAGAGCTAGTTTTGTGTGTAATGAAAGTAGTGCCTCTAGGGGAAGCCAGGTCGGGACAGGTCCCTAGTTTCTTGTTGTAAGAGGTGATTACTGGGCAATGTGACCGTGACTTGTGCATGTCATCAGGGTCCAAATACACGGACCATTGCTCATTTCTAGTTATGTTTCCTAGTCCAGATTTAATTATTTTGTTATTGAGCAGCATTCACCATTTTGTTTACTGAACACAAAACGTGTTATCCCGAAATACATGATTCAGTGTGAAGACAGATTTGGCTTATTTATTTCCAGCTCTTTCAGTACAGATGGTTGTACCTTTAACAAGAATGCACTGTGTTCTATAGAATAAATAAATTGAAATCCATAAGTTTACTCTGTCTTCATTGTCTTCAGACAAAATTAAGATTTGATACGTATAGTTTTGTTTTCTTCTTTGCTGTTTCTTGCTCGTTCATTTGTTATCTCCTGTTGCTAGATTAACTTTACTAACACGGGTCTGGTGGCACACCACGTCAGCCTCTATCCTAACCTAGCATATTTATGTAGATAGTGGTTTTGTACTGCCTTCATGTGCCACAGTGTCGTTTACTCCCTGGAGTCAATACATTGCACCTTTCATCTCAGGATTTTAAGAGATCTATTATCTATTCCTTGTTGACAAGACAGTTGGAGGGGTAAGTAATGGGCCCCAAAGCACTAATGTGTTGTATTCAACTTTGTAGTTTGTTGATGTTTTAAGAACTAGATTTATTCTTTATTTCAGGAATATAGAACCTGATAAAATGATTTATGTTGTCATGAGATACAAAGAAATTATCCTAGTATGAATATGTTTGACTTGTCATTTTATAGGACATTTACTGTGCATATCATATTTTGGGAGTATACTTTAGATATTTTGTTAGCCTCCCATTAATGGGAGTTTGGAGTAAATAGTTCTTTAAATTGAATAGCTTTGATTATTGCTGATCAGCAGTGATTAATCTAGAAATGCGCTAAAACTTTTAAAATTTACTGGTACGTGATTTAACATTTGACCTTTAGGCTAAATTTCAACCTTTGAAAACGATTACAGTAATATATGACCTAATGCTTGCATACAGGGGTAGTGATTGAAATGAACTAGTCCTTTTTTCTGTGCTTATATGCATGCTAGTGAATGCATAAAACAACTATGAGTTTCTGTTGTGACGGTTTGTATCCTTTGGGGTCTGTTTTACCGTACCAGAAAAATACTTTGAAAAAGGCTTTGAGGCAGTTGTAGGTCTTCGCCCATTTCAGTTTTAATACACACATTCAGAACTAGTTATTGGAAAGATATCTCTGTGTTATGATGCAAATTTATTTATTAGACCGTTTTCCTTGTCCTGTAGTGTTTGAAGGCTTGATTTGTGAGACATGCTCTTGATGGATGTGTATATGATGTGGCTACGGTTTGTGCTGTCAAGTTGACAGGCAAGGGCATTTCATTTAATAAACATGCCTCTATTACAGAAGTCTTGTTATTTGTTCAACCTTTGCAGTTAAAAGTTTCATGACATCAGTTTATATGGAGATTCCATGATAAAATGGCGACTGAGTCAGATGGTCAACTCTGTCATCATACGTTTCAACATGGATCGATGCTCATAATATCAAGTACTAGATTGCCTGGTCTTTTATTCGATCGAAGACAGGCTAACATAAAGCTGAAATATTGAGTGTAGTGTTAAGCCACAAAAAATGACGAGTCAAACAAGAGTGAGTTTAGGTTTATGCCGCACTCAGCAATGTTCCAGCTGTAATCCAGTCTGGACCAGTGATCAACAACATGAGCATCAATCTACGAAATTGGGATACGATGACGTGTCAACTAAGTCAGCGAGCCTGACCACCCGATCTTGTTAGTCAGATCAGTTCTAACCCAGATCTTCACGGGTAGTCAAACAAGAATTGATCAGACTTGGAAAAGATGTCAAGATGCAGTACTTGACCACTAATATGAATTCAGAACAGTCTGCTAAATTTTGCATGTGTGTCTACTTGACTTGATTTTTATAACATTCATCTCAGATTTTATTGACAAAGGCATGACTTTAGAAAGGAAAGACAAATAATAAACACAAAGATAATTTTATTGTTAAACAATACAGTACTTCCTCAAATTGAAAAATAATGGTTCTCACAATGTATATATAAATAGACATTCTTGCGAAGTGCTGAAAATTGCTCTTTCGAACCTTGACAATGATGGAAAAATCTAATACCTGCATATCATAAATGCATAACTACTGAGCAAACAAACTTTGCATTGTACTTATTGAGTGCATGCATGGAACTCAACTACCCAACAGAGATTGGGATGAATAGTGGCAGTGACAACACAAGACTATCTTGCCAACACTGCATATTATTTTCAGTGTGTAAATGTTTTCCCATGATGAATACAACACGGGTTTGTACACAAACTGTTTCTCAATCA